TATATATATATATATATAATTTGAATTTTCGTTATCAATCTTGTCATTATACAACCTGCAAACCGATATCCATCTTAATATGAATTCACATTATCAGCTTAGTCATTAGCAATGGTTATTGCTTTGCTCAGGTGACACTGAACTTGCACGTGTAACTTCAAAAATTTTGATATTGAATTATCCAGATTTCCGAATGTGATTATATTGTTTGATTGGTATTTTCAAGTGTGGTGCAATTATTCATTCTAAAATGGGTATTGCAAGGTTCGGTTGAATTGACTCTTACTGTCTTGGGCTAAATGGGGCCTAGTCAATTTGTGCTGAACGTATTGATCTTTGCAAATGTGTCACAATGCAGTATAAATAAGACGCACTTGCAATCAAAGCTAATGGTAGTCATTGAATACAACATTGCATGAAGCTGATTCAGCATAATTTGATTGTAATTAAAATCTCTCGAACATTATTTGCTTCATGAAATAATTTCTTCAATGTGATGATCAAAATGTCACGATAATAAGAAAAGGATTACTGCAATTGAATGGTGAAACATGATGGAATTGATGGTCGACAGACATGACATCACAAAGTCCAGCTTCATATGCATCACAAATATCAAAATGAGTGGATTATGTTGATGCATCAGAGGTATCAAGATTGCACATGATGGATCCTCTCAACACTAGAATTGATACACACACTTGTTAAGGGAAATGAAGACACCATCTATACCCGTATAAGCTACACACACCAATTGTAAAGGGAAAGTGATACAACCCTCCAAAAGAGATAAATTCAGAGAAAACGATCTCCAATATTATAAAATCCAAACGAAAGTACTTAGCAAGTCTTAAAACAAAGTATTTATATTAGTACCACAAAAATAACCTAATAAGATTGTAAATATGATTGATTTGACAACCAGATGGCTTCCCCTTTGCCGGTAGAAAAATTCTGAACTTTGCCAGACTCTCTTGATTTAGCCTAGGATGGAAGTACCTCTTCTGCGTCTGCGAGGGGCATAGGTGCACGCTTGCTTCATTCTCCTCAGGTGAGATGCGCTTCGTCTTCATTGCAGAGAGCATCTGAGTCTTCATAATATGGCATCACAATGGCATTGAAGTTATTAAAAATCTTGTAAATCCCGGCATATCGATTTTGTAGGAATCATCATTGATCTTTTTAACAATGATGAATGGCCTGTCAGCTCTAGGATTGAGTTTTCCAAATGAAATTGTCGGAAACCTCTTTTTCAATCTAATTCACTACAAATCTTTCATTGATCATAAATCTTTGTGGACTTATTTGCCAGTTTATGATACTTTATGTTATGCTTCAAAATTTCTTTTCTCTTTTGTTCATGTGAAGTCTGGATTTCTTTGTCTTTGGTCTCTGAATTATTGCTAAGCTCATGTTGACCTCATTTTTAGTGAGGTCTTAGTCTTCTACTCTTAGAACCTAGGATCTAGCTTTAGGAGTTCTTATTGACCATCCTAGCGGACTAGCAATGAAGCCCACCTCCCGTAGAACTTCAAGCCACTTCTTGACTCATTTTTGTGAAGAACTCGCATGAGTGGTTCCAAGCACTCAACTTTTAGTTGCAAGGGCTAAGGACCAACATGTAGAGAGCCCGAAAATGAGTTCCTATAGGATCAAACAGCCTTAGGTGAGCCCTTTGTGACTCGATTACTCGCGAACGCCGCAATTTACGCACTCACTACACCACACACAATTTTGGCTTAAATTGACTCTTCCACCGGAGAACTCGTCCAAACGACCCCAGATGACGAAATGGACTGCGCCGACGCTACCAGGACGTCGACTTTAGCTAGGAAGGACACCCATGTTGCTATGGTTTCGCGCGCGAGCGGCTAACACGAAAATCGATGCACGATAGCGGGGCGCGGGCCCGGACTCAACCCAGGTTCAACTCGGGTTCGATTTGGGCTGGACTCTGGCTGACCAAGGGTTAAACATTTTTGAATTTTAAGTTTTTGAACTTCAAATTTAACATTTAATCCCTATCTTAACGGAGTGTTAGGATTTTCCAATTGAGGGGCTGCGAAACAAATTAATTCCCCGCCAATCCTTCAGGTAACGGCTCTCGAGCCCGCTCCTTTCGTTAATTCGATCCCGCTCTCCCTCTGCGCTAGAGATACTCCCACTCGCCTTCTCCCCCTCTGGGCATTGCGCCTCTTCCTCCTCTCGCCCGATTCCTTCCTTCGGAACCAGAGTCCCCCGCTCGACTCCTGATCTCCCGCACCGAAGCGCCCTGCTCCTACTCCGAAGACGCCGCCATTCCTCGCGTCTCCTCCCTGCACCGAGGAAAACCCACTCCTCGTCGCTCGATCCCGCTTGCCTCATGCTCCCGAGCGAGATTCCCGTTTGATCATGCGAACTCTTCCGCGACACAGAACAAGCGTCGCTCACCTCCTCCCCTTCCTGCGCCAAAATCCCGATCGCCTCCCTCTTCCTCATGCTGAAGAAGCCCCGATCTACAAGTCTTGCTCGCCCCACGTCGAAAACCCTCGCCTCCTGCTCTCTGCTTGCCTCCTCCCTGCGACGAAGAAACCCTTCCCACTGGCCTGCTCGCTTCCTCGCTCGGCCGAACAGCCCTGCTCACCTGCTTCGATCTTCTCTGCACCGAGGCTTTCGACTCCTTTCTCTGTCGCCTGCTTCGACTCCCTCCTTTCACGCCTGCTTCGCCTCCTCGCTCGCCTCCCCTCTGCACCGAAGCCTTTCTCTCCTCTCGTCGGCTCTCCTAGCTGCGCCCGAAATTCTCGTCGCCTTTCCTGTTCGACTTCACCTCTCGATTCAAACCCAGCGACACACTCGCTATTAGAATTAGCTGGCCACGGGATCACCGCGTGCAAGACCTTCGAAAGTCCCATATTTCACCTGTTTAGTGTTCGCTACAGCGCTCAGTCGTCCCTCTTCGTCACATAGATTGGTACCTCTTCTAATTCTTCTCAGTTGCAGTTGCAGGTATATTCTTCCAGCTGTTGCATCTTATGGTTATGAAATTGTTTACGTAAATTTGAAATGGAATCCTCTCCACATGAATACATTCCTACTAATTTTTGAAGAAATATAAACAATATTTCAATTATATGTTATGGTTAATTTTAAGTGCTTAGTTTCTGATTTTATATTTCAAGTACCTAAATGCAAACATTGCGAGCTTCCAATGATCATTTACTTGCTAATTTTAAATATTTTGTTGTTGGTTTATGTTTCAATTATTTAAATGCAAATATTGTGAAGTCTCAATAACCATTTAATTGTTGATCTTAAATACTCATCTGTTGATTTCATGCTTTGAGCACTCGAAAGAAAATACTGCGAGGCTTGAGATGTCTGTTATTCTAGGGCTTGAATGCTTCTTTGCGGGTCTATGTTCTTTTACTTCCAAATGCCTCCCTTGAAGGCTGTTTTACATGTTATTTGGTGGGTTTAAACATTGCGATTTTTAGGACTTTGCGTACTGATTAACGTACTATTTTAGAGCCAGTTTGTTAACTGATTTCGGAGAGTTTACACATTATCTTGGATTGGATTTCCTAGCTGATTTTGGGACATATAAGATTAATGTTTTGAGCTTACATGTGTTTTTTGGGAATTTTAAAATTATTGTTTTAGGGCTGATTTAGAGAGCTGATTGTTCAATGTTTTGAAGCATTTTGGTGGACTAATTTTGAGATAATCTACGTACTATTTTGGCAAGATTTATGTAGCCTTTAAGTGTTGATTTACATGCGGTTTAGAATTTGATTTACGGACCCCTTTTTGCCCAATGTTTTGGGTTTCAATTGATTGTTATTTAAACGCTTTTAGGTTGATCCACTCGTTGTTTTCCCCTTGACTTTACTAGTTTTGGAAGTGGGTCTGCCTCATCTTTCTTTTGTTTTACTTCTTTTCAAATGGTTAAGTCATAAAAAATGGGAATTGATGATTTAATTAATTGGAAGATATAGAAAACCTTAAATCACCTTAAACATAAGTTAAAGAGTAGGTTTCCTTGAGTTTTAGGAGCACATCTTAGGTGAGAGCCCATTCACCTAGTCCTAAAGTGTAGGTTTCCTAGAACTTTAGATGCACACCATAGGTGAGAGCCCATTCACCTAGTCTTAAAGTGTAGGTTTCCTAGAACTTTAGGTGCACACCCTAGGTGAGAGCCCATCCACCTAATCCTCAATGTAGGTTTCCTACACTTTAGAACACTTTAGAAGCACACCCTAGGTCACACCCTAGGTGAGAATTCATCCACTTAGTCCTCAGTGTAAACCTCATAGACTTTAGGTGCACACCCTAGGTGAGAGTCCATTTGCCTAAATCTCAGCATCGACTTCCTAGATTTTTGGAGTACACCTTAGGTGAGAGTTCATCCACCTAATCCTCAGTATAGGTTTCCTAGTCTTTAGGAGCACACCTTAGGTGAAAGCTCATCTACCTAATCTCTGCAGTGTAACCTTCCAAGGTTTTAGGAACATACCTTATGTAAGAGTCTATTCACCTAATCCTCGAATGCACAGTAAAACTAGACACTTGACCCTGATTCACAAACTGATCAAGACACTAGACACTAGGATGCACTGAGACGTAGTTCATGCTTCCATAATTAAATCAACAGTGAAATTCCCTCAATGACT